TACCTATTTTGTGACCAGTTATTCAACAAATATTTACTTGCTTTCTACAGAGTGGAGAAAAAGTAGGTTTGCAACTGTGGATACACAAAACAAGTTTATTTGTGTAATACTGTTTGTTAATTATTGTGTTATTTTTCATACAATCAACTGAAAACCTACCTTTGCCCCACCTTGTGTATACTATCTGGTCATATATGATTCTAGATCCTGGGTATTTAGCTGTTAAGAAAACATAAAATTCCTGCTTTCATGAGCTTTGACTAATTTTTGTTTAAATGTCTTTTCAGAGTTATTCAATAATGACAGTACATTTAATATTTGTAGTTATGCCACTGTAAGCATATTCCTTAGTTCCATATAACTGATCATCGCTAGACGTGGACATTGGTTATGGTTTTTCACTATTAGAAACACTGAATGAATCTCCATGCTGGTAATATAGGACGCAGCACATTCTGAGATTTTGATTCATGTTTCCTCTGCTTGCCAAAAGGAGTATCATTTTCACATCTAATGCAGGATCATTTGCTGGTTTAAACTTTTTAACTTTATATGTGAAAATATATCTCATTTGAGATTGTGGTTTTTGTCCCCAGATACTCACTGGTCATTTGTATTATTGGGGGTGAGGGGATAGGGATAATTGTCTGTCAGTGCCCTTTGTCCTTTCTTCTATTAGGTTTTCGTTTTAATTTGGATGCTTTGTTGTAAATATTTATATTGCTAATTATCTGGCATTTGTCTTTTTCTGTGTGTGGTGTTTTTTTTTTTTTGTTATTGTTAATTTTCACTCAAGGATTTCTTTCCATTGATTTTTAGAGAGGTGGAAGGGGGCAGAGAGAGACATGGATGTGAGAGAGAGACATTGATTGGTTGCCTCCCTCACCCCAACCAGGGCTGGGGATCGAACCTGCAACCCCAGGTTGCGCCCTTGATTGGGAATCAAACCCATGACCCTGAGGCTCCAACCACTTACCTACAATCGCATTTATGTTGACCATATAGTCTCACATAGCATTTTCTTGGGTCTGTCTTCTTTTATTTAACATGTCTGTATAGTTCATCAATTTTTGTATTCATATTGGGTTTGTTTTTTTTTTGTCGCTGTGCTAGTATGTCATTGTAAGCTCAGATCACAGTTTTACTGTTGGTAGACTTTGTCCCCATCAGTTTTGGCCTGTGTGTCAGGGCTTTCCAAAACCATCCCCAGGTTCAGTGATTCCCTGAGAGGACTCAACATATATTTCTGGTTGTGACTTAATTATGGCAAAAGCATACACAAAACAAAATCAGCAAAGGGGAAAAAAAAAAAAAAAACATGGGGTGAAGCCTGGAGGGAACCAGAAATCTTCCCAAGTCCTTTCCCAGTGGAGTCACACACGACACAATTTTCCCAGTCATGAGTCCTAGCAACACAGGTGAAATGTCACCTACCTGGGAAGCTTGTTAGGGTAGGACTCAGCGTCTGCAACCCCCTCTGCCTGATCTGAATACCTGACTTCCAGAAGGAAAGAGAATGCTTGGCAAAACCCTGTTCTTTCTGCAGTCATTTTAGGTCTAGTGAGTTGTGCTCATCAGTGAATGATGAGAACTGTCCTGAAATACAAGTTCCCAGATGACAAGGGCCAACCATGTAAGCAGGCCTTCCTCAGTCACAACCTCACGCTTGCGGTGTTAACTTCCCCACACAGTGTATTATGAACAGTGCTACTGTGGCCTGCAAAGAAAAGGTTTGGCTCTTTACAGAAAAAGTAAAGAGGATTTGTTGTCTCACCAACTTGGAATTGATTTTAGTGTGTGAGTGAAATGTGGGGCCATGTTTCATTTTTTTCCTGGTGGATATGGAGTTATCCTGGTACTGTTTATTGAAAAGACCATCCTTTCTTTGTGCTCTGCAAAGCTGTGTTTGTCATAAATCTCATGTCCACTGAATGCATGGGTCTTTTTATGCACTCATTTCTTCTTTATTGGATCATTTGGTCCCGTATCACATTGTCTAATTCCTTAGCCTACCTTATAATTCATGTTTTTTTTAAATATGTTTTTATTGACTTCAGAGAGAGAGGAGGGGGAAGGGAGAGATAGAAACTTCAATGAGAGAGAAATACCTATCCACTGCCTCCTGCATGCCCCCTACTGGGGACTGAGCCTGCCACCTGGCCATGTGTCCTGACGTGGAATTGAACCAGTGACCTTGGTGCATGGGAAAATGCTCAACCCACTGAGCCATACTAGCTGGGCTATAATAAGTTTTAATGTCCATTTAGTAAGTCCTGTCTGTTTTGCCTTCAGAATGTGTTCGCTATTAGTGTCCCTTTGCATTCCCATGTGAATTTTACAGAAAAAAGTGTGAAAAATTATTAAGAATTGACAATACTTTCCAATACTTATTTTCTAATGCATAAGGCATATATCATCAGTTCTGTAGGCTTATTTTCAGTATGTTTTATAGTTCCCTATGGAGAAATTTAGCAGATTATCTTTGCTTAGATTTTTTTTTCCTGTCATTTGTAACTATTTCAGTAAATATCTCTAAGAGATATGGACCTTAAAAATCATAATAAAATAATATTTTGTTGCTGAAATATTAATAGTTTCGTAATATCAGATAGCTGATCACTGTTCACGTTTCCAGTTTCCTCATAATTAATTTTTTCAACCAGTTTGAATTAAAATCCAAATTATGTTCAGTCATTGACATTGGTTGATATATTTTCTTTTTTCTTTTTTTTAACAGTAATCATCTCATTCCCTCTGTAATTCATTTGTTGAATAAATTGGGTCATTGATCCTATAAAGTTACTCATGTCTGTATTTTGCTGATTGCAACCCCCAGATAGTGTTCAGTATGTTTTTCTACCCTCTGCATTTCCTGTAAATTGATGGTTGGACATAGGTGTTTGACTTACTATTTTTGGCAAAACTTTCATCAGTGGTATTTTCCTTTATCAGGAGATGCCTGCTGCCTAGTTTCTGCTCTTTTTGTCATATTTATAGCTGTTATGCTTAAGGCATTGATTTATTCAGGGATACAAAATGGTGATATTTTTGCCTGGCCGGGTGTGGCTCAGCAGTTGAGTATTGACCTAGGATCCAGGCTAGCAGGGTTCGATTCCCAGTCAGGGCACATGCCCGGGTTGCGGGCTCAATCAGTGACTCTCATCATTGATGTTTCTGTCTCTCTCTTTCCCTCTCCTTTCCTCTCTCTGAAATGAATAAAGATATATTTTTTTAAAATGGTGATATTTTTATTGGATCATTTATTTATTAGCTAGACTGGTTCTATAAAGAAATTTCTGCATGTTATTTGTTTACTCAGTGTTATACTTTATAAAGAAAAGTAGAATGAGTACTTGACTCTTGACCAGTTTTCAAAGTAATGAGTTAATTTCCTGCAAGCACTGGTGTTGACTAATGAGCTTTTCAGAGGTCATTTTCTTATAAATATACCCTGACTGAACACACTGTGTTCCAATCCAGTATCATTGATTAGCTCCTTCATGTTAGTTTTCGAGCTACTTAGACAGAACCCTGCTAGTTTTTGAGAGCTTTCTTTCTGCATATGAGACTTTTGAGTCATTAAATCAGCAGAGGCGAATAAAAAAGCCAACTGTAAAATGTAAAACATTGTATAAACAAATGAACCTAATTATAATATTAAGCTTACTTACTCCCCTATTTTATTTTGAATACATCTTTATAATTTTTTTCTATTTTTAAACAAGTTTTCATTTTATCTATTTTAGAAATTATTCCTCTTTTAATATTTTGGTAGTTAAAACTTAGTGTTAATCCTTGATTTATCAAAGTCTGTGGTTTTAATAGATATTTTAAATGTTTCCATAGATAAGGCAAAATCTCTAAAAGACTACACCTGTTGGTCCCCATCCCATGTCGTATGCTGTTGCAACATATTTTGCCCCTTGTACAGTCTTTTTTTTTTTTTAACTAATTCTCTCAGTTTGTGTGTTTCTTCTCTCTTCAGACTTGCTTATCTCAGATATATGTTGGTCTTGTCTTTGGAAAGTTGTTTATAAAAATCATTTGGGGACTAGTGTGGTACTGTCTCCTTAAAGAGGGGATTGTCCCTGGCCTCTTCTAGGCTCTTGGGGACACTACCATAATATGTCTAAGGGATGGAGTCTTTCTGAAGTACCCAGGTGACTTGAAGCTGCCCAGGAAAAGGCTGGTTTACTTCTGCTTCATCCTTGGGTGTAACCCTTCATGGTCCCAACCTGAAGCAGGAGGGCTACCAGGACCCCGCTCTATGCAGGCAAGTCCCTGGGATCCAGCTGTTCTTTTTTTTAATTTAAATTTTTATTTTTAAGAGTCAATTTATTAAATTTGGGGACAGTGAAACAAAGGAAGGACTTAGGGCAGAAGAAGCTACAGGAGAGCCTGTGTGGAGCTGCTTTGACTCCCTAGAAACTTTGTAGGGAAGAAGTGAGCCAAGGTGGGGCTGCTGTGAGCTCACTGGAAAGTCAGAGAAAAAAGGCCTTGGAGACGTGGGTTAGCTCAGGACAAGCTTCTGTTGCCCACTGCTCCCCAGGATTGCAGTCTCATGGGGACTCTTAGAACTTTGGGAGAAAAGGTAAAGATTCACACCTGGAGAAGAAAGGCGTGAGTGTGCTCCATAGAGAGCTGGGCTAGCTGTTGTCATTTTAGTCCAACAAGGTCATCCCAGGTACTGCTTGACCTCTTGGTTGCCACTCCCTGAATAGTTCAAAGTTTTAAGGGAAATACTGGGCTGACTTTCTGGCTCTCAACAGAGTAATTCTTCGCTGTTCTACTTGCTCTCTGATGCATTCAAATAGATATTTGTGTGCCACATTTTAAAATCTTTTTGGGTTAGTGGTTCATTCTATTCATGTAGCAGCATGTTGTGCTTGAATTCAGTGTCTTGTTGCCGGATTTGGCAGTTGGGAACAAACATTTCTATTCTGGTGCTTGCTGATTTCCCAGCCCCATTTAGTATACAACTATCCTTTGACCCTTGTTTGAACATCTCCAATAGGCTCAAAATTCATATATGTACGTGGATCTGTTTCTGAGTTTTCCCCTGGGATTTTGAAAGTGGGGGACAAAAGAGAAAATTTCTTGATTGAAAACTAAAATAAACTTTAAGGAAAGTAATGTATCAGCGACTTCTGAATATATGTTTTCATCTGCCTTGACTTTTTTGCAGTTTTTAAGAAACATTTGACGATACGGTGTAATCAACATTTATAGACTACCCTTTTAAAGTGTCTGTGAATCACTGGTGCTCTCCATGTGCTGAGACTGCACAGAGTTTAGGGTCCTGTAGCTTAACCTTATTCAAAAGAATTCTGTGCAGTGTCCCTTTGGGGAGCATGTCTGCATGTTTGTGGTCTCCCCTTCTCCCCCAGGCAGCTTTTCTCCCCTAAGCTAAGCTGCAGGGGTCCTTTTGTTTCTGTAACTTGTTTCTTGTGCCTATGCAGCCCAGCTGGCTAGCTTCTACTTGCTTTATAACTTTTAAAATAAACTTTCTCTTATAATTTGAAAAATAAAATAATTCTGTTAAGATAAATGCTTGCTTCTTGTTCTGTAGTTTTTCTTGAGGAATGTGAACTACCTAAACAGCTTCATCCAAAGGAGAATGATTTGGTGTTTTTGGTTCCTGAGAAAATGAATGGAGAGAAGAGAGATATAGAAGGGAATGCTATCCAAGCTCCCCATGAATATCACTGTGCTTATGTCCATAAGTTTTGCCGCACCTCAGTCAGTAAGTACCTGATGAGACATTGAAGAGCATTCACCAGGTGTGAGCTCATCTTAGTCTCCCTCTAAGTTGTCTTTTACCAGCTGTGTGTTTTCTCTACAGTTGATCCTTGAACAACATGGGTTTGAACTGTGCTGGTCCACTTATATGCATATTTTGTTCAAAAATACTCTTCCTTATTATTTTCATAATAACGTTATTTTTTCTCTAGTATAAATTCATGTAACACTAAAAATATGTACTAATGTACTGTTATTGGTGAGGCTTCTGGTCAACAGTAAAGTTTTGGGGAAGTCAAAAGTTATATGTGAATTTTTGACTGTGAGGACGGGTTTGGCTACCCCTAACCCCTTTGTTGTTTAAGGGTCACCTATACATTTATTGGACCTCTAGGTTGATTACTTCACATTCAGAGGCCTCTTAGTTTTTTCTAGACTCACCTGGAAAAGGTCTAGTATTTATTACTCTAGACTTAAAATTTAAAACTTCCTTTTGTAATATCCTCTCCTTGTTGTATATTTGTCCTTGTGTGTTATGAAATAAACAACATGTATGCCATCTGTTTGTTATATTTTGAATTGCATTTCAGCCTTGGCTTTGTGGCTAAACATATAACTAATTGTGAGGCAACTTGAGGGATTTCCTGTTTCCATCACCCTGTCCATTGGGCCGTAGGGACCTCACTCCCTAAGGTAGTATAACAGACATAATGTTAGCTGAATTTAATGAGCACCTACTGTGTGTCTTATCCTTCCTGTCACATTTATTATCCTCCCCAAAGCCCTGCAAAGTAGTAAGAATTTTTTATCCCTTCCTGTCAGGAAGCCAGGGCTCAGCAATGTTAGGTACCACAGCTAAAGTCATCCTCAGCAGTAAATGTAAGTCCAGAATTGCAGCCTCCTTTTGTTCGGCCACAAAGTGCCCGTTCTTTATTCTAGGCCAAGCTGCATTTTGGCACTGATGTTTCTTGGTAATGTGAGAACATAATTTTATTATTCCTGTGCCTTTTTGCATCATATTTTGAAAATGGCAACTAGTCTCCTTAAATTTATAATCAGGCTGCAGTATGACTGGTGTGCCGTGCTTACTGTCAGTGTGAGCAGAGCTCAAGTATTTGTGTAGAATGCATGTAGAAGAGCAATAGCAGGGGCATATATGTGCTTCTGAGTCATGCAAATGATTACATTCGACAAGTTTATATTTCTAAGGTAGGTCTCACTCTCCAAATTCATGTATCCTGCCCCCATACATCACATTTCAAACCTCATCCAAAAAGAAACACTTGATTTTCTTCCTGACATCTGCTCTTCCTTTAATTTTTTTCATCTCAGTAAGCAGGGCAGAGTCATCCTTGATCTCTTTCTCTTCCACCCTCATCTAGTCTATCAGCAAATGCTTTTGACTCTTCCTTTGCAGTGTATCCCAAACCTAGGCCCCATCTCTGCTACTCCATCCTGCATTAACTTTTACCTGCATGACTGCAGTGGCATCCTGAGTGGCCTTTTGGAAAGCCCCTTCTCAGTTACTACCTATTCAGGAAGACCTTCCCTGACTCCTGTCTACAGTGATTCCTGCCTCTCACTTGTTGGCACATTTTCATTCCCTTTTCCCTTTTTTCAGAGCACTTATCACCATCTGACACGTTTGTTTGGTTGTCTACCTGTCTCTGCTAAAAAAGAAGCCTCTTGAAGATAGAAACATTGCCTGCTTCTTAGGAGGCATTCAAGAAGTATTATTCAGTGAATTATTTATATAACATGTCATACAAAAACATATCTTATAAATTACCTAATTCTGAATAACCTTTTTAACTGGATACTGTTCTTCACTGCTAACTGAAATTGCTTTTTCTCTTTCTTGATACTAGTGCGTAATGGGAAATATGAGTGTTCCCTTTCCATTCAGACTCAAGGAAATTTGCCAGTCAACTTAAATGAAATGGTGAAATGTGTTGTAATCAGTTCTCTAGTAACTACACAAAGGACTTTGAAAGCCATGTCTTTATTGAGTAGTCGAAACCAGCTGGCCAGAGCTATTCTGAATCCAAACCCCATGGACTTCTGTACAAAAGATCTTCTGACTACAACATCTGAGAAAATTGTGAGTGATGATTATATGGTAACAGCAAAAATCAGAAAGTTTTGCATCAGGCTGTGAGAGCATCGTGTTACATATATCTTCACATTCCTGCTTGTTGACAGTAGTGTGTGCACTGTGTACAGGGGTGCCATTCAGGGCATAGTTGTTGTTAATGTTTCACAGTATATGGGTGGTTGCTGGCCTCAGAAGTAGGTTTTAGTGCTGTAAAGAGTGGGAATTGTGCTTAAAGAGCAGCATTGAGGTGCTGGGGGAGCATCCTACCTAATGTCAGGTGATTAAGATTCAAGCTTAGGAGAGTTGAGTGGTGGTATTGCAAGTATGAAGATGTCATTTCTTGTGAATACTTACCTCACTGGAAGAGCTTCATATAAGTTCCAGGAAATTAACACGGAGAAAGGCTAAAGGGAGGTACTATTTTTGAACCCCTGATGTGTGCCAGGGCTTTCATGTGTGTCATCTCAGTTCTCACCTTTAAGGAATCCCAGACATAATTGATGACAAAGGCTGGAGCCAAGAGAGGTTAGGAGTTTGAAGAGACCTAGTTTGTGAGTGAAATGAGGTTTAGACACAGATATGGCCCCAAATTCATGTTCTTTCCACTGTATCATTTGTTTTTATTGTCTGAGGAGAGAATTGACTAAATTAGTGGGAAGAACCAAAGAAGAAATAGCCATGAAGTACATAACAGTTTATCATCATCTTTATATCAGAATCACAAATAAAAATACACTTGTGTTTGTCAGTGGGCTGAAGCCTGCAGACACTAAGTATCTTTCTTTCCAGTAGTGAAAGTGGTTTTAGGTTAAGGGTGAGTTGCTTTAGGATCTTGTCCTATCATTCTCACTCCTGTCATTTTGTGTAGACTTCCTACTTAAGAGATTTCAACGAAGACCAGAAGAAAGCGATAGAAACTGCGTATGCCATGGTGAAACACTCCCCAGCAGTTGCCAAGATCTGTCTGATTCATGGGCCACCTGGAACAGGGAAATCAAAAACCATTGTTGGCCTCCTGTACCGCCTGCTGACTGAGGTAGAGATGGCTGAGGGCATGGTGCCTCTCACCATGAGTTAACCAGTGTTCACCTCTTCACTTCTGTGTGTTTTCTTGATACTGTGTAAAAGTTTATGAGAGACAGGAGAGTGGAGGGAGAAAGGTTCTAAGAAGTAAAAAGGGCAGAAAGTGCTGTCTTGGATAAAACTAATCCTAAAGCCCAGAGGTCGTCTTCTGGCTTTATTATAGGTCACATATGCAAGGGCACTGTCTTGAGTGTCTTCCTGGGCAACATCTTGGCTGAAGTGAATACTGAGTGAAATAAGTGAATATTAATGGAAGGCATAAAGAGGTTTGGATAAGATTCTATGCTAGAATAATTTTACTAATAGTGTAAGATACAGATGCTTTTATGTACTGTTAACTTTCTGGGGGAACTTTCAAACATTCATGGAAGTAGAGAAAAGGATAAAACAATATAATAGAGCTCATCAATATTTTTTGCTTGTTTGTCTGGTACATCTGGTGAATTGTGCAACCAGAGGAGGGGGCTCTTCAATGAAAACGCCAATGCCAAGATCAAGCAGAACCGCGTGCTTGTGTGTGCACCTTCCAACTCAGCTGTGGATGAGCTGATGAAAAAAATCATCATTGAATTTAAAGAAAAGTGTAAAGACAAGAAGAATCCTTTGGGTATGTTACTTATGTGGACTGTTCATTTGTTTTTGTTTTGTTTTCAGTGTTTAGTGTGGGCAACTCCAAATGACAAAGAGCAGGCCAATTTTGGTGATGACTTGTCCATGGGGATGTGGCCCCCGCTTCCTTAGTGACTCTTTCAGCAAATATTACTGGCATGTTCTCTGTGCTGGGCCCTGTGCTGAGTGGTGAGGTTTCAGCTGTGAAACCCCCAGAAGACAGTCTCAGGAAGAAGTGGGTGGAAGCATGGGCAGTTAGAGGACAAGCTGTGAGCTCTGGAGGAGGAGTTAAATGTGGTACTTAGGCACCTTTGAGTGACGTTTGGCTCAGTCATGTGAGGGCTGGGGAAGACTTCTAGAATTAGTGTTTAAGATGAAACCAGAGAAGCCTGTAGAAGTTAGCCAGGTTAAGTATGAGGGGAGGGGATGCCAGAAGCCAGAGATTCCAGAGGCCAGTTCGTTCAGGACAGCTGGAATGGAGTTACGATGGCTGGTACACAGTACACTTCCAGAAGGATAGGATGAGTGATTCCATCCCTGTGGCATCCCAATGTCTGGTGCACGCTCAGATGAGTGGAGTATTAAAACCTGTCTCCAAGCTGGAGGAGGAAAAATTGAGGAGCAGGTATGTAGAGTGCCCCAGGGTAATATTCAGCACAGTTGATGTTGGTGAAGAACTCAGCACATATGATCAAGGATGCCTGAGTGCAGGTGTCAGGTAACTCCTGCCTGCTGCTTGGCCCTCATTTTCGTACACCTTGAGTGGTTATGGTTCAGCTGTTTTCTCAAACTCATAGTCTTGTCTTTCCTCACCAAGTTTTGTTTTTCTTGAGTTAACTGACAGTACCTTTTATCAGGTAGGATTAGGTATGGCCACAGATAAGAGCAACTACAAATACAGTAGTTTAAGTATGATAAAAGTTTCTTCCCTTCTTATTCAGAAGGCCAGAGATTGGCACCTCAGGACTGGCACTGGTATGAGTCTCAGAGACCAGGTTCCCTCTGTCCTTCTCTGCTTTGTATGGCTGCATTCCTTTGTGTGCCTCGTGGTCATAGATGGCTGTTCCAACTCCAGCAATCACTTCCAGCATCAAGTGCCCTGGGGTAAAGATGAAGGAGGGACAAAAGCAACACACTACCATTGTTTTCATGAAAGTTCCTAAACACTGCCAGGAGCACCTCTGCTCACTTCCTTTGGGCCAGAACCTACTCATATGGCTATATCCAGATATCAGAGAAGCTGGGGCGTGCCATCTTTGTCCTGAGGGAACACACACATTTTTCTTTTACCACATATGTGTTACCTACAAATAGAATTCATTGGCTTGTAGAACTTACATTGTTCATTTGCCACTGTCCCTGCCACCATGTGTTTGTGAGGTTTATGATTTTATATATATTACCATTTATCAGCACAGTCACTCATATCAACTGCTACAAGTTATTTTATTGTAGGGTGCACAAGGTATTCATTATTTGTTGATAGACATTTAGGTTTTCTTCCATTTTTTTTGTTATTTCAAACTTCATTGCAGTGGACATTCCTGTATGCTTTCTTACAGTATAGGAATGTTTACAGCCAGTGAAGATACAGCTAGAGGGAATTCCCTGAACTGAAAAACAGCTCTGGGTGTTTACTTGTGTCTCCGGTACAGCTTTCTATGGCAGTGCTTTTCATCTGTGACTTGTGACCATGAGTGAGTTGTGAAAACAGTTTAGGGAGACCAGAACCAGTGGTGTTAATCCAGGTAAAAAAAAAACAGAAAAGATCAGAGGACAGGTTGGGGGTTAAATAATCTTGTAAACTTCTTTCATTGCTGACGGGTCAGATATTCAAGGTCATTCTTCCACTGCATGTGTACCTAGAAGAAGAAATCCTTGGCTGCAGGATTTGTGTATCTTCAGTTTTCTAGACAGTGCCAGATTCTTCTTGAAAGTGGTTGTAACAGTATACCTGGCCCAGAGCTGAACCAGGCAACATGCTGGGTACAGTTCTAGCTGGCTTTTTCCAGCCAGGTAGGTGAGCATTGTCCTAGTGTGTGCTGACCATGCAATATTATTTTTTCTTAGAAAATAGCTTTTTCAGTATTTCATTCTCACTTCTTTTCACTACTTCCCATGGTCCCGGGTATCCTTTAAGGAAATGACGCCATGCCCTTAAGTATGAATTTATTGCTGTGTTTTGGTTTATATACCTTTTATCAGGTTAATGAATTTTCCTTCTCATTAGCGTTTTTGTCATGAATGGGTGTTGAATTTGTGTGCATTTTTGGAATGTTTTTTGGCATTCATTGAAATGGTAGTGAAGTTTTTCTGCTTTAATCTATTTCTGTGGTAAATAACAATGGTTTTCTAATATAAATTAGCTTTGATTCCTAGAATAAAGCCAACTTGGTTGTGTATTACTATTTTTTTTAAGTTTTATTATTGTTTAAAATATTACAGATGTCCCTTTTTCTCCCCAATGACCCGTTCCACCCCGTTCCTTCCCCCTCCCCAGTCCCTCTCCCAACATTGTCCATGTCCTTGGGTTGTGTATATATGCACATAAATTCTTTGGTTACTCTCTCCCCCTCCACCCACCCGCCCTCCTCCATCCCTCTGACATTCATCAGTCTCATCTATGCTTCCATGTCATTGAATCTATTCTGTTCATCAGTTTATTAAGTTCTTTAGATTCCACGTATAAGCGAGATCATGTGATATTTGTCTTTCGCTGCCTGGCTTATTTCACTTAGCATAATATTCTCCAGGTCCATCCATACTGTCCCAAAGGGTACGAGATTCTTCTTCTTTACAGCTGCGTAGTATTCCATGGTGTAAATGTCCCACAGCTTTTTTATCCACTCATCTACTGATGGGCACTTAGGCTGTTTCCAGATCTTAGCTATTGTAAACTGTGCTGCAATGAACATCGGGGTACATATGTCCTTTCTGATGAATGTTTCAGGATTCTTAGGATACATTCCTAGGAGTGGAATCACTGGGTCGAACGGCAGCTCCGTTTTTAATTTTTTGAGGAACCTCCATAGTGGTTGCACCAGTCTGCATTCCCACCAGCAGTGTACTAGGGCTCCCCTTTCTCCACACCCTAGCCAGCACATGCTGTTTGTTGATTTGTTGATGGCAGCCGTTCTGACAGGTGTGATGTGATACCTCATTGTGGTTTTAATTTGCATCTCTCTGATGATTAGCAACGTTGAGCATTTTCTCATGTGTCTCTTGGCCATCTTTATGTCCTCTTTGGAGAAGTGTCTATTTAAGTCCTTTGCCCATTTCTTAATTGGGTTGTTTGTCTTCCTCTTGCTGAGTGCTATGAGTTCTTTGTACACTTTGGAAATTAGCCCCTTATCAGATTCATCCTTGGCAAATATGTATTACTATTTTTTAACACATGCCTGGATTGGTAATGTTTTATTTAGGATTTTTTAAATTACTACCTATAAGCGAGGCCAGCCTGCAGTTTTTCTTAGTCATATTTTTTCCTGGTTTTGGTATTGAAGTCAGGGGATTTTTTTATTGTTTGGAATGTTTTGCCTAAGACGGAATATTTCTTCCTTGTAGATTTTGTGTGTGTGTTTTTTTCTATTTTTGAGTGAGGGATAAGTTTTTATCTACAGTCTAAATGTCTTTAATTGTTAACAGATCTATTCAAATTTTCTAGATTTGAGTATTGCTAATTCACGTTTTCAAGAAAAATTTTTACTTCATTTTAGTTTTTCAAATATATTGGTATAAAGATGTTTCTTTCAAAATTCTAATTTAAAAAATCTCAACTGTATTTCTGAGGGTCACCGTTTTCATTCCCTGTATTGTACATTTAGTCTCTTAAAATCACATGTGGCATGGGCCTGGCTGGCAAGTCCCAGAAGATAATTTTTCCCAGCTGAGCCAGGACCAGGGCACTTTCACTTCATACCACCACCTCTTTCAGGCCTGTTTGCATTTTAGCAGGCTCTAAAGCCAAGCCTGCATTGTAAGACTTCTGCATCTTGGTTGGAATGGTAAGTTTTGCCAGTGTAGATGCTTGTCAGACTGTAGAACTAAAGATTTTTAAAAATCTTTGCATTTTATTAAATGTAAATTTAAAAACACCTAAGCACTGAGACAGTGAGCAGCCTTCCCCTTCAGGAGTCAAAGTAGTGTGGAGCTTTTAACTCTGGTTTTCAGCTTTCTCTTTGTTTTTGACCCTAGAACTTGCCTGACCTTCTTATGAACCCACCTGGAGTTTAAAGGATGTGTGTGATAATATTTGTGGCACTTCTAGGTGTTTCTGGTGGAGTAGAATGTGATGTGTAGTAGTTTCAAAGCTTTGTTCTGAGTGTTCTACAGAAAAGGGTTGATGGTAAAATAAGATTCTGTTTAGAAATTCACATATATAGTAATGTATATTACTGAACTCTATGTATCCTTGTATATTTTTGAAACACCATGTGGTTAAGAATTGGTTTTATCTCAATTTATCATTTCCCAAATATGTTTTATCATCAAATGTTCTAAAAAAAAATAATTTGACATATTAATATAATAGATTCTCAGCTCTGTAATGTAGTATTTATATACAACCTCACTAGCTTTTATTGGGTAGAAATGGTTAAGTGCCTATTTTATAGGGTGTTATGGAAAATCTGTGAAACAATGTGTATGAAGCTCTAGTGGAGTTCCATTTATCTAGTTAACTGATAGTTCATATTAGCTCTGTCCTCTGGCGGTTAATGCATTTGCTTAGAAATACATATAATGGACAAAGCTCCTTAATCTCTTAAGTGTGGTTTTTATCAACAGGAAACTGTGGAGATATCAATTTAGTACGTCTGGGTCCAGAAAAGTCTATTAATAATGAGGTCCTAAAATTCAGTTTGGATAACCAAGTTAACCACAGAATGAGTAAGTACTGAATATGGTTTATACTAATGTTAGCTGGTTCTTTTTGTACAGTAGACAATGGCTTCAGCATTTAAGGTAATGGGGAGACCCAAGAGATAGTATGGTTTGAGAAACTAGTGTGTGTTTTTTTCTCATTATGCATATGTGTGTGTGAGAATTGGCATAAAATTCCTTATTTTTATTTTTTTTAGAAAAAGACTTACCTTCTTATGTTCAGGAGATGCATAGAAGAAAGGAATATCTAGACCATCAACTAGATGAACTTTCCCGCCAGCGTGCTTTATGCCGAGGTGGGAGGGAAATACAGGTATCTGAACATTTCTTGATTGTTTTTAGTAAATCATAGGTGCACAAAATAGGTTATGAGTATTTGATGCCATTTTTCACTGTGGAATGGCATAATTTGTTGATAAGAATGTATATAAAAGTGGTATTCCACCCCAGCTTAGAAAACCCACAGGTAGAAAAGGCCTCCCTGCCATTATCTGTGCATCAGTTCCAAGGAAGAACTCAGATTAGTTCCTGGGTGTGGAGGCAGGTCTAGTCCCTGTTTTTAAGGGAGTGGTGCCAGAATTGACTAGCCTGCATTACATGCCCTTCACTGACTAGAAGTGATGAAGGTGTGACTGATCACCTCATTTGAACCACCTGGAAATGAGTGAAGGAATGGTGACCCAAGGGTTGGGATGCTCAGAAGTAGCATTAGTGCCATGTACTAGACCCAGTAGAATATTACATAGGATTAAGAATTTATATCAGATTAACAGTTGCTGCTACTTGGAGTGCAGGATTGTAGGTGGTGAGCTCAGTAGACAGAGAAATTGCAATAGAGAAATTTATTACAGGTCCCAGAAGAAGTACCGTGGCACACCCTGAGGGGCCACATGGAGGTCAGGGCAGAGTGCAGACAGATGCAGGACCTGGGACTCATGCCTTTATTAGGACCTGTGGGTGGAGAGCTTTGGGGTTCCTGGGCTAAGGCGGGGTTGGTCAGTTCAACCCAAAATACCTGATTTAAGGAGTTCATGGGAATGTGCTGGAGGGCAGGGGAAACTTGATCTCAGTGGCTGTTGGAAAAATCCTATCAGGATCTTACATTTGCTGTTACTGGGCTACTACCTAGGGTATGTGCTTGTGTGAAGGGGCTAGTGTCAGTTTAAGGTATGCAGTCTGCTTGGCCAAACAGAATGGGTAGGAGGCGGCAATACCCTGGAGTAGTTGAGCTAAACTCCAGAAGTGCAGTGATGTAGAGTGTCAGGACTTCACTGTCAAATAGAAAACAAACTGGATGATTGAGTGTTGTCATAAGGTGTATGCGCTCAGTTCTGAAGTGAAGCAGTCTATTGGAAAGCATTTTAAAATGCTTATTTAATTTTCATGATGGCATTCTAATTTTTCCAGAGGCAAGAATTAGATAAGAAAATTGCCCAAGTTTCAAAAGAAAGGCAGGAACTTGCTTCTATAATTAAAGAGGTGAGTAGTTTACTTACATCATTTACCTGGTTTTTCTTTTTCTTTTTTTAATTATGACATAGTTCAGACAACCTCTGGGCTTTTATCAGTTGCATTTAAAAATGTTTTTATTTTGAGAAATTTCAAACAAATACAAAAATGGAGATGGTGTAATTACATGTATATTTACTTTTGTTCCTTTAGCCTGATAATGAAATCACCACCTGAGTTTTCTAAAAATAAGTGATTATAGAGTATCTTTCCTTTTCTAGGTGTGGGTATTAAAAAAACCCTCTTGTTAGGTGCTCTACTCTGCCTCCCTTTAACTGCAAAATCAACTGGGATATTTATAACCAGATGAAATGTTAATAAAAATAAGTTTGTGGGTGTTTTGCTATTAAAAGAAGTAAATAACATGTCTGGATTCAAGTACATGACAGTGGTAACCCCGTATTGCATTTCCTCAGACAACACGGCATTTCTTTTGGGGTCAAGGAGAGGGGGAAAATATCAAGCCACAGTGTTATCACTATTTTTGACGAGATCTTTCTCTTGAATGTATTGTTAGCCTTCCCTTCGTGGCTACATAAATACAGTTTAATTTAATGCATGTTTCATTAGCTATTTATTTAAATTAAAAATTAGGTGGAAACTTTTCATTAAAGTTTTAAACTGAGCCAAACTCAGTCTTCTGAAATTGAAGGATGAAGTTCATGTCTGCCGGTAGTATGGTTTCGGCTACAGGTCACATTGCTTTGTAGCTGCTGCACTTGCTGAGTGAAGATGGGCGATGGCGCGTCAGCGTGTGAGCCCTGGAGAGCCACTTTTGCCACCTTTTGTTCTAAGCTCATGTTTGACTGTATGTCCTACTCAGGGATGAATCACCATTGCTCAGGGATGAATCACCCTTCTTTTTAAGAGTAGGCCCAGGCTGACTGACACTGATGAGATACTAGTTTATGACTTCAAACCCTACATGGTGTGCAGTGAGAGGTGTCATTCAAACTGCTTGGTTCCACCACAGGACAGTTACATCTTTGATCTGAGGTTATGGATTCATGTATGTGGAGGGCAGACTTAAGTCACACTAGGATTTTCAGCTGTGCAGTGGTCAGTGCCCTGAACCCCTGCATTGTTCAAGAATGAGCTTATGTTACATTACAGAGGGAGACTATGATTGTGTTCTAACTGAAAGTAGAATGCTTGTTAGTTTTGGCAGCTGGTGTTTTTGTTGGTACTAACCTTTATAAAACGAAGAATAGTGTTATGTACTTAAAAACAAACAGAAAAACATATATTCAAGCCTAGTTCTGACCTCCGTTTTACTCAGATAATTGCTTCACAACTCGGTAGAATCATTTAATCTCTGCATATTCTGACCTGCCCACCTACATCTGGCTATATAAGACTTGCAATCTACTTTCCCCAAATCAAACCCTGGATAATTTTTTCTTTGTATACTTGAATCTGATTCTAAGCTTAGACTGTACTGCAAAGCAGTGTTCTTCCTGGTTGTTTCTAATTATCTTGAATGTTTCTGATGTTGTTCTAGATTGAGGTTCTCCCTTTATATTTACTAAATATTATTCTATCACATAATAAAGGTGTGTGTTTTATAGTAGAATTAGGCCTACCATAGCCTAGGATTTATATACATCTGAATGGTAATGGACCTTTGTTTGTTGTCCCAGGTTCAAGGACGCCCACAGAAGACCCAGAGCATCATCATCTTGGAGTCCCACATAATCTGCTGCACCCTGAGCACCAGTGGCGGTTTGCTGCTGGAGTCTGCTTTCCGGGGGCAAGGAGGTGTCCCCTTCAGTTGTGTCATTATTGACGAGGTCAGTGAGCAGTCAGCCCTGTGGTCCTCTCATCTGATTTTACCTGACATTACATGTGTCTTTTTTCATGTTGAAATGTACTGCTAATGACTCCTCACAGTCAAAACTGTTCTTCCAGCACTGGGGTTTTACTTGTAAGGATGCCTGGTTGTTACAGAGTCCCTCCCAAGGACTGTCTGAGCTGCTTGGAATAGCTCCATTTACCTTTTGCAGCATTTTTAATATAACTTGGGAAAGCTCTGAGCCACACTATTTTCTTAGTTCATTTTATTGAGCATACATTTATTCATTTATTGAGCAAACCTACTGTTTGCCAGATGTAGAGCTAGAAGACAAAAGGGTTGAAAATGAGATACAGAGAATCATTGTAGGAAGTCCAAGGTCCATAGTCCCCAGTGAGAACATGCAGAGGTGGGTGTGATGAAGTGCATCCAGTGGAAGAAGCTTCCAGGTCTTACAGCTGAAAGGTCAGCTAAGGAACATGGAAGAAAGATGAGGCAGGGACGCACAAACATGTAGTTCCAGCAGGAACAAAGAACACAGGCATGGCTGGCTCCCAAGTGTCAGTGACACCTGAGTGGTGACTGACTACAAAACATGTGACTTTTTGTGTGACTGTTTTGTTGTTTCTCTAAAGAAAATCCTTGTTTTTGATATTTGGTGCAGAAGGAGAAAGTGTGGCTCATTTCTGAATGGTTAGGGTTAGAGCTTTTCTGAGGTAGGTAAAGGGCACATGGATACATAAAAACCAAAGATAATTAAGCTGATTTCTCCGCTCTGTACTTTGTTACTCAGGCTGGGCAGGCTTGTGAGGTTGACACCCTGACTCCCCTTATCCACCGCTGCAACAAGCTCATCCTTGTAGGGGACCCGAAGCAGCTCCCTCCCACAACCATCTCCTTGGTGAGTTTCCTCCCATCAATTTAAAATGGAAGGGGCTTTCTGGAATTTTGGCAGGGGTGGGTGGGGGTCTTTGTTGGATCATCATCTCTTATTTGGAAAGGCTGGGAAAAGAGTATCCCCATTTGAGTCTTTATCAAAGCATCTGAAAATGTCCCTTTGTTTGTTATTGTGCTTGTGTGTTTGACAGGAGCCCTATCAGAGACCGGAGACTAGAAAGACCCTACTCCATGTGCAGTGGGGTTTTTTCTTTAGGATAGGCAGTGTTCAGCTGTTTTAAGTGCCAGATATGATTTAATTTAGTAATGTAGATACACTAGAACAGTAATAAAAGAAAAACTTTAAAAACAAAGAGAATCCCAACCTACTGATTTAGTTAGAGGACATTTCCAGTTTTAAAATTCTGTATCCCATGGCCCTCACACATACAGGAAGGGAAGGTGATGGTTACAGAAGGGGACTGTGAGCTCTGCTGGTGGGAGATAGGCACCTGTGCTCTGATTGACCCTGCTTTGCTTCTTTTCTCATTAAAGCTAGCTCCTGAAAGTGTAAGCCTGGCCCAATTAGATGTTTGGGGTCATCTGAATGGCTCTAGACCATGGTTTTTAAATGTAAATTAAATGTTTTAATGTTGTATTGGTTGAATTTGTTGGAGGGCTGTGGTATGAAATGAAAGGGGGTGTTGATGGGCCTCAACTTGACTGCCCAGTTTGGTGATTGATTAAAAATAGCAAAAATGAGAAAAATCCATTTGGTTCCTCAACCTCTTTGTAGCACAGTTCAGTATTTTAACAGATCTCTGGTCATTTTTATGTTCATTGATACACTTTTTCAGTCTAGTGTCAGACTAATTCAGGCACTGTTTTAGGTGGTAGGTTATGACGGTGAAGGAAACAGATTAAAAGCCCTGCCCTCATCCGAGTGGGGACAGACACAAAAATTACTGAAGTAGGGGTGTCAGGTGGTTGTCAGGTTTGTGTACATGTGTACATAGGGTTGGCCTCTTTTAAAGGTGGCAGAAGCATTTTGTGCCTAGTTGGTTTCTTTCCAGTCAGTAAATAGTTGAGAAATATCCTTCTCTGTCAGAGTATACAAATCTTTGTCATTTTGTAGGATGGACGTGGCTTTTTTCTGTAAGTAAGTGTGTTACCTTATATAAGTCCTTTTTTTTTTTTTCCCCAGAGAGAGAAGATTCCAAATGAGGTTTCATCTAATTTGAATGAATAAACTTTAGGGTTATATGTAAATGAAATTGTCAGATGTCTACTAATATTTAGTTACACAAACCTATTTAAATTCACACATACAAATAATCTGTTATTTAGAAGTAATGCCTTTTTTCTCCACTCTCACAGTCTGTGAAACAGGTATATTCAAACTGCACATACAGCTTCAGTGCCGCATATCCTCACCACTACTCATGAAGAGTTCCCCATCTTAATACATTTTTCAAAGCATATTTTGCTTCTAGGCTATTCGATAAAATGCTTATCAAATATTGGTATGATGCTAATATTGAACAGTATCTTCCAAGGTACAACCATGATAAAATATTCAACAGTTATTTTCATTTGTCAGTTAGGTGACTGCTTTTCAGACTGCAGGTTGTAATCCATTAGTTGGGTATATGAAATCACTTTAGTTAAGTCAGTTATCTGTTTCCTCCTCAACTCGGAGACTACTGAGACTGCTAAGTACATATTGGAAGGATGTGTGAAACAATTAGATTTTAAAAGGGCTTGTTTACAGTGACATTGGATATATCTGTTTACTGAGAGCATAACCCAGAAATAATTGTTAAAACGTGTTATTTTCTTTCATCACTGAGTCAGGTGACCTCTGTTAGCATCAGAATAGCTTCAGTGTGCTCGTGCACAAGATCATATCCTTTCATAGCAGAATGTGGATTTTGTTAATGAGGAGCAGAGACCTGAGTTTGTATTCCTAAGTTCCATGGATTTTCAAGGGCCAGGCTCAGAAACATATTTTTCTGACTCTGCTTGTTGGTAATGACCCTAAACCCTGTCATGTACATATTAGGGTGCAGTGGTTTTTTATAACAGTGGGGAGGTACAGGTGGTTCTTCAAAGATTACTGCTTTATTTTCCCCCTTCCTGAAGGCACAGGAGTATGGCTATGAGCAGTCGATGATGGCCCGCTTCTGCAAACTGCTGGAGGAGAATGTGGAGCAGAACGTGAGCAGCAGGCTGCCTGTGTTGCAGCTGACTGTCCAGTATAGGATGCACCCCGACATCTGTCTCTTCCCTTCCAATTACATTTACAACAAGAGCCTGAAGAACAACAGGTGAGCTTCACTCATAACTTGGTGGCTGTTTTTTTTTTGTAGGGTTAGCTGCTTATGATGAAGAGCTAGTTTACTGTGTTCTTCAGTCTTGTCATAGAAAGCATAAATCAAAGGTTTAATAACTTTCTCTAATTATAAAAGTCATGTTGATTGCAGCAAATGAGGATAAGGAAAAAAAAGCTAGGAGAACCACCAATATTTATACCACCCAGAAATAGTTACTGTATAGAAGATGTATTTTGATACATCTTCTTTTGGTCCTTGTACTATGCATATCTTTTAAAAATTTTTTTTAAACTAAAAAGTCATACTGTAAATAGTATGAAATGGTTTGCTTTTTTTTTTTTTACTTCATTATGAGTAATTTTCCAGTTGCATTTGTTACACTTTAATTACATAGTTCATTCCCCTGGCACTAGAATAGAAATAAAATTTGTCTTGTACCTTTCACTAAAGCACATTTCAATAAAAGAAGGTCCTTCTTGTTCCCTTATTTGCCCCAGCTTCCTACCCTACAAGGAAAATGGTAATACTAATTTAAAGTTCTTCATATAACTTGACTTGTGTCCTGAATGGTGGCTGCTTTCTCGTAGAGGGACTGAGACCACTCGGTGTTCATCAGACTGGCCATTTCAGCCCTACCTCGTGTTTGATGTCAGGGACGGCTCAGAAAGACGGGATAATGAGTACGTTCTCTCTACTCCCCAGAGAGGGTCCCAGAATTTTTAGAGTAGTTTTCTTCATATTTATATTCAAAACACTGTCCACACACATCTCTCTAATGTCACTGCATGATCATTTTTATTTAGCCAGGTTGTTGATAGCTTTTCCTTTTTAAAAATAAGTTACTAATATCTTTATATATTTCAGACTTTTAATTCTTAAGTGTACAACAGGGATTGTATTACTTAGCATGGTAGGCACTTGAGTGGATCCATGCCAAGGTCACAGTCTGAGCAAGGTTATTGTGGCCTAATAAGGAAGGCAGACATCAACCAGATAATCACTAAGGTCATTAATTATGCCAGTTAAGTGTTGTGAAGGATCATTATAGATTCAGCTGACTTATGGGTGTGAGACAGAGGGTGGCAGTACATTATGTGTATTAGGTTATTCAGGTAGTCTGTGACAACAGTGGTGGTCACTAATAAGAATATGCCTGGAGGGGCCATGGCTTCTTGTGAGAGAGTAGAGGAGTCATAGTCTGAGGGCTGCCTTTGTTAGCACAGATGCAGACACCACCTGTACATGAAGTTAGGGGAAATACACACCCACCTGTGTCTTGAGACAGTGTCCTTGGTCAGGTCTGGGTATTAGTCATAAGCAGAGAAGTTAGGGATACAGAGAAGCAGTCAGCTGGAGCTTGCAATGCTGGAGGGATTGTGGAATGGAAGAGAGGACGGAAGGTTGAGCCCCATATGCATTATGGTGATGGAAGGTCACAAGCAGAGAAGAGGAATGTTTGAGGTAACCAAGCAGAATAAAGGTTTCAAGGATGGAAGAGATAGCTAACTGAGTTGTCTATAAGTTCTTGAAGTGAGAGAGAAAGGCAGCCTCAAGGATAGATGTTTTATGCAGTGCCCCTTAGTGCCACTGTAATACTGCATCTGTTGTAGGATGGAGGGAGTGTGTGCTGTTTGTGGGATGAGTTGGGAGTGTAAGGTGAGTCCAGCGAGGAAGACACTTGAGGACTGGGCCACTGTAGGACCCCATGTCGTTCATCTTCAGGGGCCTCATCACCACAAATCCATGTGATGCCCTCCCCTTGATTATGTTTCTGTGATTAATTGGCATGGCCAGTGGTGGGGAATTAGATAATACAACTGAAGCATTTTCTCAGTGTCTGCAAGATAGCAAATCTTTAACATTGGCTCTCTGTTATCTCCTTTATTATACTTTTGTTCTTTTACTATTCCTGTTTCAATAGATGTTTAAGAAATTAGTGCCTAAACCTCAATTGACTTTGAACTCTTTTTCTGTCTTACAACTTGGTTTCACTAGGCAGTTATTTTTGGATTTATTCACATGTACGATATTAAGGGTCAGTGGAGCAACCTCTCAGTCACTGCTGACTGAGCAGTGATGAGACTTACCTATCTCCCTTTGTTGTAGTGGAAAAAAAGTGGAACTTAAGTCAGCAGTCAGACTGCTGTTAGTTTTGATGTGTTCTTTTTCCATCTTTTTTAGCTCATATGTAAATGTTCAAGAAGTAAAAGTGGCCATAGAATTGATTAAACTTCTTAAGGACATAAGAAGAGACATTACTTTCCGAAACACTGGCATAATAACCTATTACAAGGCTCAGAAGATGATGATTCAGAAGGCATTGGACAAAGAATTTGGAGGAAAAAGGTGAGGCATCTGTATTTTTACAGATATTTCCAGTTTCTCTGTTGAATTAAGAAGGGGGCTAGACAGAAAGGAGGAAAGGAAACTTTGTAGTGAGTGGTTTTGGACCATAATGGTCAGTCTTGCAGAGGACTCTCTGGGTCAGGGTGGGCGTGCTTGCAGCCCTGTGGTTAGAGCCTCCTGCTGTTGAATGCTGATCACCATGGGAGACCTACAGTGAAGCTGATGGAGCAGCTCCCCCATGCCTTTCCCTTTGGTTCCATGACTGTCAGTCTGAATTCCAATTCTGGGGAGAAAACAGGAAGTCACATTGTCACTGAATAAATGGTTTAACCCTTTTAGTGTCTTTATGTATAGAGAAAGGATAGTGTTTTTGTCTCTTTTTTCCCTTAACAGTAAAATTAAAGATTAAATATTGGAAATTCAGTGACTCAAAAGTGTCTTAACCTAGAAACACACAAACTACCAAAATTGACTCTAGAAAACAGAAAATTTTAACAGACCTATTAAAAGTAAAAAGATGGAGTTAGTAATCAAACACTTTACAACAAAGAACTCAGGACCAGATTTTGTAAATGGATAAATTTTCGTCCATGTGTACAATCAAATATGTAGTCATAAAAGAAAGCAAGCACTGGCCCACACTGTAGTGTAGATGAGCCTTGAAAACACGCTGAGTGAGAGAAGCCAGACGCAAAAGCTGTATGTTCTGATTCCATTGCTGTGGAATGTGCAGTGTAGAAGAATCTGAAGAGATGGGAAATGTATGTATGGTGGCCAGGGTCTGTGGAGGAGGGAAAATTGTGACAGAGTTCCTCTCTTGGGTGATGGAAATGCTGTGAAATTAGTGGCAATGGCTGCACAACATAGTGAATGTACTTAAAAACCACTGAATGGTATACTTTACAATGGAGACTTTTAAGTTATGAAAATTATATTTTTGTAAGTACAGACACCATGGAAGTTTCTGAAAAATACTACTCTACGAATATGTATGTTTAATAGTTATCTTTTTCCAGTAAACTCTTCTGTTTTGTAAAATAGGCCAGCAGAAGTGGATACTGTGGATGCATTTCAGGGTCGTCAGAAAGACTGTATTATTGTCACATGTGTCAGAGCAAATGCCATGAAAGGCTCAGTCGGGTGAGTAACTGTCAATATTGAGTTTTTAAATTGTGAAATTGACCCACTGTTGGGTCTGCTTCTTTTGATACCTTGTATGTTAATCCATGACACAGTGTGAATCTGTTCTTTTATTTAATAAGTATGAAATAAGTCACTGGGTCAAGTGTATTTTGCAGGGGCCTGCTGCTCTCCCACAGAAGTGTCATACTTGGTTTTTCCTCATCTCTCTGTTTTCTGCTTTTGCCAAGTTTATTAACCATAACTACAGTCAGTTTACTTACCAGAGATGTTCTGGGCACTATAGTGGGTATATAGAGTGGGTGACAGAAAACCCCCGAGTTTCAGGGCTTGAGATTTTTTTCTTCTCGTGAGTAGCAGATGAAATTTACAAATCGAAAATGTTTTAATTGTTCTTAAAGAAAATAGTAATTTAAGTTCTCTCTGCCCCTGCCTAAAGATAGTCTGCATGTGCAAATGGAGGACAGTTATCTCCGGACCATTTTGTAAAAAGCTTATTCTTTTGCAGCTTATCTGAAATTTCAGCTTTACTTTGTAGCAGTTCCATTATTTCTGAGCTCTTTCTGACCTGATGTATGTGTTCTACATGCACTAGTTCTACAGTATTTTAGTAATCTCAGATTTAAGAATAATCTGTCTAGTGTCATAGTTTTAGAATGTCTTTAGAAATCATAACTGTTGAAATTTCCAGTACCTCATTCAAGTCAAAATAGACAGTTGTTAACAGATGTATCCCTTTGAAAGAAAGCACTGGATTTTTTTTTTTGCTGTTTTCAAGGTGAATTGCTTCTTTGCCAAGTGCCCTGTGGCTTTCAAAAGTAAGAGCCCACAAAAAATCATCTAAAATATGGCCTGTATCTCATCCACACTGATACCTAAGTCCCTCTGGAGAAAAGTAAATTTTTTTTTTTTTGT